AGTCGAAATTTCAAATCTATCGCCAAACCATTTGTTTCAATTAAACAAATTAATCCATGAAACCTAGCCACCTGACGAGCGCTATTCACCACGGCGCCTGTTCAAATTCATCAATGAAGGATTTAGCGATTTGTGTTAGTTTCGCGCCAACTTGGAAGGTAAATGGACGTACTCGGGAAAATCGTAAATTAGCGTTCGTATTCACGTTGAACTTGGAAAACTTCCGAAAGTTGAATGAAAACAGTGCAACAATTCTTTATATTTTGTGTCACAAGTGTTGTCAAGTTTCGTATGCGATTGCCAGGAGCTGATTTTTGCACAAAATAAATTTTATTACTTTTGCTATGTTGTTCTAATGAACGGATAGATTGACGGAATCAGTAATTTATGTCGGTGGGGTTCAAGGGGTGGATTACCACAGGTGAGTTGAAAAGCTCGATTCCCTACTTCACAAAGTCTCATAAGTGTATCTCTGTAATTTCATTTAAACAGTTTATCTCAAAACCCCACAGAAATAGTAGAATCATTAGATTTTGTTATCATCATCAATAAATAATGCAATTTCATAATTTTTGTCATGATTTTCCTGAAGAAATATTCGTTTCTGTATCATTCTAGCCGAAAAAAATTGTCAAATGTAGCATACGTGGATATTTTGAGAAATTTTACCTCACACAATAAAAAAACAGAAATTATGATGGAGAACTCTGTTCAGATTTTTCACATCTCAACCCAATTAGCAATTCTATATTTTATAATAGTTGCGGAAACATTTTTGATATCCAAATTATAAAACTGTATCAAAAGTTATAAACAATTTACTAAAAAAAGGGGGGTTTGGTTTTTTNTGTTGTATTATACTTTCATGATTTGTATCGAAAATAAACTTAATTATTAATAAATAAACTTGATTGCCAAACGCAAAAATACAAAAATATTAGAAAACTTGTAAAAAATAGAAAAAATGTTTCACACAAAAAGTCACGTATGGTTTTATTGTAGTATTGGAAAAATATATCATAAAAATTCGTTTGGAACAAATTGTTTATTAAATAATTGAAAATGATTTCCATTGGTTTTTTTCCAGAATATCAAAGAGAAATAAAACTAATGATTTAAAAGAAATTGTTCTTTTGTATTCATATTTAGTAGCAGAAAAAAATTGTTAGTCAACGAATGCGTTTTTAGACAATACATTTCATAATATTCAACACTGATGAAAATTTCCAAAAAAAAATTTCAAATATCTTATAAACAATACATTTGTTTATAACAATTTTTCAACAAATAGAGCCTGAAATTATGATAAAATATTTATGTAACTTCAAATAATGAAAATACGAATAAATTACTTTTCAACGTCTTTGATTATCGGTGAATCAGTAACAAAGTGTAAAATCGAATTTTTTTTATTTTTCCAACGGGAATCTTTTTTGAAGGTTTTCAAAGAAAGCTCCGAGAAGTGAAAAAATTTTGAGGTTTCTAGTTTAGAAATTATCAGGGTTTTTATGTAAATTTGAAACTTGTTAAAATTGAATTGAATTGTTAAAATTGGTTAATCAACTGAAGTATATCTAATAAAATAATCACGGAAAAATTTTTTCCATGGATTTTCGTTTATTCAAATGGTCAGTGAGTGCGGGACGCGCATCGCCCGCTTTTAGCGATATTTTTGCCTAATAATTTAAATTATAAATATAGAGTTCCATGAGGTGGGACTTTTTTTTGTAAATATCCTCCTGTTTGAGGATCTCTTTTCAAATTTCGAATATCTTCAATATTTTCCGAGATACTTGCAAAAAACCAAATCACCCTTTTAACCACCCTTTTTTACAAAACTGTTTATAACTTTTGCAAATTTTTCGAGCCCCTCTTGAGATTTTTCAAAAAGTTGCTAGAGATCATTCCGAATCGAATGAGCTCTGGATCATAATTTTCGGTGCCCTTGGACAGAAGTTCCAAAAAAAGGATCTTGTGACCCAGACTATCATTAATATTTTGTATAGCTTTTTACAAACACTACAATTTTTCGAACACTCTTAAGAAGTAGTTTTGTGAAGATACTAATGAAATAATCAAAAGACAATTCAATAAGAGTTTTTTAGTAGTTCCAAGTACAGTTATGAAATATAATGCAGCCTCAAACAATAAAGATAAAATGAAAAAGTGTCCAAAATGATTATTTGAAGGCGCAAAAATTAATGTTGTATTGGACGCTAGGAAAATATGTATATTAGATACGTCACCAACTGGAAACCAACACATAGAAAGTTTGAAGCCATTTCAATAATTTCACTTTTGTGTTAGATCCTCAAGGATCTTACCTTGGACCATTAATATTTGTTCTATTCATAGATGATCCTTCCATTTTGAAATTTTCTGAATGTTTGCTTTTTGCCGATGATCTGAAAATATATAAACAGATACAAACAGTTAGGGATTGTTATGCAGTTGAGAAAATACAAAATAGATTGCTCAGGTATTTATATTATAAACAGTACCGTATTAGGGCTGACTATGAAGTTATCAGATCCAATCAACTCAGACATGACTTCAAAGTTCTCTCTTTAGAAACTAGGAGATCCTTTACCATGATGTATTTTTTGTATAATGTAAAAAACAACAGGATAAATGCACCTGGAATCCTATCATTACTGAGATTCAATGTCCCTTCCCGTAGAACTCGGAAAATGTATCCATTCAATATCCCGTTGGTGGTTACAACAAACAGATCCCCTCTCGTGACCATGCTACGATTGGCCAATACATGTAGTGTGCTTGTAGATTTAGATTGGACTCTACGAAATACTCCCGTAGAGCAATATTAGATTATTTCTTGAATACATCTGTTTGATATTATTATTATAGATTTTATTGCACAACTATATTCAATAACAGAGTACATATATTTCATTGCTATTCAACCTCAAAGTTTTTGAGTAGGTTCACAATTGACTCTCATGATTTATAATTATTGAAATGTGACGATTATTTCAATTAATTATCCATGTAATTAGATTTTTGGTTTGTTTGGATACAAATAAATGGAACGAATGAACTCTTGAAAACACTGGTTGTGCTCTAAAGATTGATATTTTTACTGCGAATGAAATTTCATTGCCAAATATATAGCCTATTATTAGCAAAATTTGAGCGCGCCACTAATTTATTGATGTTTTTGGAAAAAAGTATTGTGTATACAAAAAATCACTGTGTCGATATATTAAAAAACTCAAATCATTTTGTTCTAAATAATATAATCTTATAATATCTACGTACTTTTCAACTGTAAATATCACTATATCTGCAGTATTTCATATTTTCAACCCATCTAATGTCAGTATTCCGAATTGCTATCATTTTGAAATGGCGTCGTTCTGTGAAGTCATTTGGTATCAATAGCAAGCATTTTAATGTATTTAAGCTACTACGTTACACCTATAAAACTGATAAGAAACACTTTGTTCTAGGACTGGTACTGCGGTAGAGTCAAACTACTTTTAAAGCTATAGATTCCTACATAAGTGCTTGTATAAAGATAGGATTTCTCACGTATAGTTTAGATACATTTTATCTATCGGGATGTTTCGGCTGAGAAGCTTCTTGCATCGATTATAAAGGCCGAAAGGGTTATGAGCTAGTGATTTGAGGTATATATACATGGTTCTCCACCTAAATCGGCGAATTTCAATCATTGGTAACCTTTTCCTGTTGTCAACAAGAAAAAAATTGAAGCACTAGGTTACATGCCTTATTTTTTTCCCAATGACCGGTTGGGTTGGATGGGGTCACACTACTTAAATAAAACTGTTCGGTTCGGTGTGGGTGCTCAGACCACCAACTGAAAAGTCTGAACAGTTGTTGATGTATATAAAATTATAAAAAAATGGTTCGAGCACAAACTACTTACAATCAATACAGACAAGACTTATTACTTACCGTTTAGCTGCAGCTCACCTGGACTTCCCGATTTCCAAGAATTGAAAATAGAAAGCACCACTGAAAAATTTGTCATACTACCTGTAAAAAAAATTAAATACTTGGGAATCGTCATTGACTATCGCTTAAAATGGGATCTTCACATAGCATACGTATTAAAGAAACTAAGAACCATTCTATTCAAATTCAGAAAACTCAAAGAAAACATACCTGTGGGCCTGATGAGAATGTTATACCATGCATTAGTAGAAAGCCATCTACGCTACGGGATTCTAGCATGGGGTGGAGCTTTGAGGACGCACATAAACCAATTAGAAGTGATACAGAGGAGATTCATAAGGCTGATATACTCTAAAAACCTCAGATATCCTTCTGACAAACTTTATTCTGAATCACAGATCTTAGACCTGAGGCAGTTATACTTCTTCATCACAAGTATCAAATATCATACTTCAAAACACTCCAACCAACTCCCTGTTCATAACTATAACACACGA